CCTTATCCATTTTGTGCCAAAGTTCCTGAAGTATTTTGGGATACTCCCGATGTATCTCGGTGCTAAACATTCCGGTTACCAACCCATTTGTGAAAGCAATTATGGTTACCTGCTCATTAGGGTCAGGTATTTGCACATTTTTCTCATGAAATCTTTGCACATACGAGCATAGAAATTCTCCCGGAGATTGCTGTATGTTCAGCAAGTAGGTCGATGTTTTCGTCATCGGCCTCGATGACACAAAAAGATGGATAAACATACCCACAAGTTCACCCAGGGAGGATATGCTCCTAAGTTCTAAGTTTCAGAACTGTTTTCGAGTAGTCCCTTGCAAGAAAATCGGAAATGCTCGATAAATGATGGAATCGGGAACACATTATAACCGGAAAGCAGAGATAAAGGCATAGAGATGGTTCTCAGAATCACCTCGTTCATCGTAAGGCTGCAACACTGGAAGCTTAAAGTTGGGGGGAGTCACTTCCCCATTTATATCATCAGTGAAGGATGGAGCCCTCATGTAATCTACTTCCAACCCTTCTAGACGTCAAGGGGCCTTCTCGGCTCATCTTCCCAGCAGGTTTCGGGAAAGTGCCTTTGAAATGGAAGCAATTTTAGACATGACCTTGGATGAGGAACATTTGGAGGTGCTACGGACAGGGTACCAGTCACCCAATTCCTCTTCAAAAGGAATTTCGGGTGATTTTGCTGACCTACTCTTGGAGGATTCGGCCTTTTTCTTGCCCTGTCTTTTGAAGTACCTTTTCTGTTCCTCGAAGATACCAGGATTTTCAGCTACAAATTCAGTCATTCGGGCGATGGCTTCTTCATTTGTAGTTTGAGTCCTTTGAAACCCTTGCTTTCTGAAGTGTTTTCGGGCTGAGTGGCTGTGCTTGTAATTAGGAATCATTTTGCTCCAAGTATTTTTAGAATTAGGATTCATTTTACAAATAATTAGGATTGTATTGCACAGATCTTTACTGGTGTAGAATGATGACATCTTTGATGACAATGAAAACTATTTTATCATCCGCAATAACAATTATGATAAAATAGTAGAAGTGACCCGTAATTACCGGCTCTATCATTAGTTTTCCCATTTATGAAACATCTAAGCTAATCAAACAGAAACTTAAAACAACAAAATGAAATAATTGAATTCCTTTAATCCAATAAGCTTGACATAAACTGAACTAACTTCATCCCTTCTCTTATAGACAAACATACAATTCAAAACGATTTTTAGAAGACCTCAACTTGTAATCCGAAGTAATATATGGTATATTAAAAAAAGGAGAAAAATTACCGATTGGTATAATTTGGTTGAATCTTAAACTTGAAGTCCAAAGTAGCCGATGCCAGTGGAGGCTTGAGTTTCGAAAATTACCAAAGAAGCGGCTGCTGCAATCTTTGAGGAGCTATGGTGGTTGTGGAGGAGCTACGGTAGAAAGCAGTGGAAAGCCAAAGACTTGAACCTTGAAATTGGTGTCCGAAAATTACACCGGAAGAGCAGGGGAAGTTATGGTAGTGAAATCCAGTGGAGTAGTGGAGGTGCATGAAGAGGTCGTTTCTGGATGGTCAATCTGAAGTGATCTGGTCCAATCTCTTCCTAAGCGAGGTGATTTTACACTGTGAGTTCCCTGGCTGAAATAAGAGGCGAGGCTTTCTCCCCTGGGATACCTCCTGCGATCAAGTCAATTTAGTAAAAGAGAATATAATGAATTTGAATGTAATAGAGTTCTTACTTGTTTAGGAGGAGGGACATGGTAGCGAATTCAAGTTCCTAGGGTCCGACAATCTGCATTGTCTTTCTTGTACTGACACGCAGCAGTGGCCTAGGCTTTTGTTAGTTATTATGTCTCTCTGCTAAGCCGGCATGTAGCTTTCCAATAAAGCGTCAGTTATTAATAAGCTGTTAGTTGAAATAATGCAGGGTGAACTGGCTCTGACAGTATTTGCGCAGTTGCGAGATGAGATGATTAATTATGTATGGGAAGTCGGTATTACAGTGGGGGCCCGAGTTGACATGAATTCGGACCAAAATGACGGGAGACACGAAGGCTCAGATCCTTAGTTGAAAGTAACCAAAACGAGATGACCATTCTCAATAAGTCCCTCAAGCCTTGAAAACGAGAAGGCTAATCGTCCCCACATTTCGAGGCTTTCACTTGGTAACTGCGAGTCATATTCGACCATCATGATGTGTCAAATGTGGGTACGTAAATCGGAGAGAAGTGGGTTGATAGGACGATTACTAGATTGATTGACACGATATGAGATCGTGGAGGGAAGCATGGAGCAGTTTGTTAGAGTGTAATAGTTGTGCATGAATGAGGAGAGAGACATGTCTTTTTGAAATTTAAAGTTGCCGCTCCTTCGTCTTCTCTTGCACGCTATAAATAGGGGGTCTTTTTATCCATCGCACTATTCATCATTCATCTAGTAGTAAAAAGTTAGAGTAGATACTAGAGCAATCATCTGTGGTCTTCCTTGTTCCAGCCGATGTCAATCCCTTTTTAGAAAAAAAGGAAGTCATCTCTCTCGTTATTATAATTCATACATGGCTCGATTAGCTCGCACGCACAAGGAGACGGTGAGGTCAGATTTCCACGAAGCGGAGAGGCCCGACTTGTATAAAGAGGAAGAGGGCACTTCGTCTAGTCCGGAAGAGGAGGCAACCGAAATGTTTCAAGGAACCGAAACATCACAAGAAGCGAGTCGGAGAGAATCCGAAATATTGTATAACGATGCACTGGGAATCGAAATTCCTTCTGACGAGGGAGTAGTGGAGCCAGCCACTCCACCAGACCTAGTCGCCATAGATTTTGGTCAACTTCCAGCATTCAGAAGTGGAATATGCTTTGCCGAGACGAACATGGTAATCCGAAAGTACCCGTTTAGGCAGGAATATAGCATCTATCCACCCGACCGACTCAGTCAGTCGAACTGCCCCTCATCAAACAGGATTTTGATTTATATGGACCACTTAGATGCCAGGTTGAGGATGCCCACAGCGAGATTCTTTCGAGATAATCTCAAGTAATGGGAGGTAAGAATCACCCAACTGGTCCTAAATGCTGTCCCAATCCTCATTGAATTAGAGATGCTGTGCCGAGAACAAGGAGTGATCCCAACCGTCAACCGCTTCCATCAATGTTATGTTATCAAGAATAGCAGAAGTGAAAATGGTTGGTTTTATTTCGGTAACAAAAATAAGAGCATCCCGAAATTGATGGTAGATGCTCCATCTTCGATAAAGAACTGGAAACCCAACTTCATTTTCGTTCCGATCGAGAACTTTCTTCGAGGTTTCTGGTGGAGGTCACATGACGCTCTAGCCGACCCTTCCCCAAGACAAGTAGAAAAGAAAAGTTTTCAATAGATTATGAGGTCGGATCTCAGGATCAATAGTTGGTTCTATTCCGAAAAAGAATTAGTCGATGGAGGGATCAGCCGAACTCTAATCGACCCTGATAGAGCTCCCTACTTTTCTTCTAGACTTAAGAAACATTGTAATTTTTTATTCATAATTTTTACATTTAACTTCGGTAATTCTAAATAGTAATATATCTTTGCTGTGCGGTGCTGAAGGTTTCCGACTTGCTCACTGTGGGAGGAAGGCAACAGGAGAGACCTCTGGAGTGCTCAAGAAGAAGAGTGCCTAGAGCCCTATAATCGGTACTTCAACAACTGTTGGTACTTTGGCTACTTCAGTGGTTGAGGATGTTTCGAAAAACTCAGCTGTTCTAGAAGGGGTTGTGACCCGAGGTGTGACTATTGCCTTGCTTTCTCATGGCCGAGGCAAACCACCTCAATCTTCACAAGCCGCAGTTCGAGGATCATCCTTGTCGAACTGGCATTTGTTCTTTCTCGATCCGCTGGGGATGAGAAAAGACACATCTGCGTGCATTGGTGCCTGGATTAGGATCTCAGTGTTAACGACAGATGCTTGGATTCTCACGTGGCTCATGATCTTCTGATGCATTCCACTCTGTCAAGAGATTTAGAATATACCAAGAAGCTGACTCCTTTCAAGTTGCTGCAGAATTGGATGGTATCATCGGCCTCCACCTCGGCTTTTACAGCCGAGCTATCACGACGATATGCTTACTTACTCGAGAGCCAACCATCTGTCAAACTGCAAAATAAGGTCTCCCTGTTGTAGAAGAAGTTGGCATTAGCCGAGCACGAACAGACTCTACTTTGCGAGGAACGCGATTAGGCTGTGACCGGAATGATCGAACCGAGGCTACTATCAATTCTCTTAAATCGGCCCTAGAAGAAGAATAGAAGAGGCGCCTTGATGATGAACAATCACATTGGGAACCACTTGAGAAGGCGGACATTTCGACAGTAGAGATTTTCAGGAAATCCGAGACCTTTACCCAAGACCTGGGCGAGCTGACTTTGCCCAACTTCATGTTCGGATACACCTCAACAGTGAACTAGATGGGGCCACTTCTGTTCTAGGAGGATATGGATTCCTTCAAAAACAAGGACAACTACAACGAGAGTGCTAAAGAACTTTGTGACCAGATTGCTGAGAGCATCCAAGCTGGGCGGAATCTAGCCGAGGTGCGGGATGAGTTCAACTAGTCTTCGTGTTTGAATTGGATCTGGAAGGTGGGCCAGGCATAACCGAGGCAGAAGAAGCCATGGGGGGGAGAAAGTGCTGGGGGCACTAAGGTGAGGAATGCTTAGGAGCATTCCTGACCTCGGGTCTTTGTACTTTTAGTTCTTCTTTTGAATTCCCTTATAATACTTAACCATCAATGAAAATTATCCTTTTCTATTTTCTTCTTTTCCCGACTCCTGTCCCCTTATTTTTTAATAGCATGTAATAACATTCGTTTAAAAAATAACCAAATAAGATCAAGGTTAACAAATCATTGGCATACTCATGAATAATACAATTTGAGATTCTCAACATGCCAAGTTCTGGGTACAAGAGTACCATCTCTACAAGTCAACTTACAATAACTATTTCGACTAAATTCAACAATTCAGTAAGGCCCCTCCCACTTCGGAGCTAACTTATCTTGAGGTTCAGCTCGGCTAACCAAGTTTTTCCTCAAAACTAAGTCTCCAAAGTTGAGATGTTTAACACGGGCATTGTAATAATTAACTAAGATATTCTTATATAAAGCTACCCAAGCTACAGCAGCATCTCTCTTTTCTTCAATCAAGTCAAGGTCCACCCTTCTTTTTTCTTCATTTGCTTCGGCAGTGTATGCTGCCATCCAAGAGCTTGAAGTAAGGATCTCGGTAGGAATTACCGCCTCGGATCTATAAGTTAAGAAGAACGGGATTTCTTGCGTAGTCGATCTCGGCGTAGTTCGGTAAGACCAAAGGACATTAGGGAGCTTGTCTGCCCAGAATGATCCAACTTGGTGTAACCGGATTTTGAGACCATGTAAGAGTGTTTGGTTGAAGTTCTCAACTTGTCTGTTAGCTTGGGGGTGACCTACCGAGGTGAAGTGTTGATTAATTCCTAGGTTCTCACACCACCCTTTGAACGGATTATCAGCAAATTGTTTTTCATTATCCGAGATGATTATCCCTGGTATTTTGAAGCGGCAAACTATGCATTTTCAGAAGAACTTCTGAATAGCAAAATCGGTTATGTTTCTTAATGGCTCGATTTCAACCCACTTTGTGAAGTAATCAACAGCTACCACTAAAAAAATGTAATTGCTCACGGCCTTAGGGAAAGGACCGATGATATCTGTCTCCCATTGTTCGAAAGGTCAAGGTGAGGTGATAGGGACCATGAGATTAGTAGGCTGATGATGTTCAAGGGCGTGGTGTTGACACGAGGAGTAGCTGAGAACTAGGATCTGGGCATCTTACTGGATGTAGGCCAGAAATATCCGAGGAGCAGTGCTTTTTTAGCCAACATTCGATGGCCGACATTGGCTCCACACAGTCCCTGGTGTATATCACAGAGGACACGTTCTCCCTCCTTCGCTATGATGCACCGTAGCCATTGTCCGAGATAAGACCGCTTGTATAGTTCGTCGTCCCGAAGTGCATACTGAGCGACTTTACGCTGGACCCTCCTTTCCTTTGCTGAATTTTCGGAAAGGATTTTCTGGCTCAAGAACTTAATGAGGGGACTCATCCATGTATCTCCTAAGTGCACAGGATAAACTTTTTCTTCTAAATACCCCGATTCGGTTAGAACCTGCACAAGAACTATTTTATTAAGTGCCGAAAAGAGATGGAGGCCAATCGAGACAGAGCGTCGCCTCGCCTATTTTACGATCAAGATATCCTTTAGATTTCAAATGACTCGAAGTAAGCAGCAAGTTGGTGAACTTTAGAGAGGTATCGTTGCATCGTTTTGTCTTTGTCTTTATATTCACCAAGTATTTGACATACCACGAGTTGGACTCACCGTTGACTTGAATGTGTCGAGCACCGAGCTTGCGGACTAATTGCAGTCCTGCAATCAATGCCTCATACTCTGCTCCATTATTAAACGCAGAAAAGTTAAATTAGAGGGCGTACGAACAAACCTCTCCGTGAGAATCTTCGAGGAGCAACCCTGCTCTACTGCCTCTCCATGAGCTTGCGGGCTAATTGCAGTCTCGCAATCAATGTCTCATACTCGATTTCATTATTAGACGCAGGAAAGTTAAATCAGATGGCGTACTAGCAAAGCTCTCCGAGAGAATCTTCGAGGAGCAACCCTGCTCCACTGCCATCACTGTTAGAAGATCCATCAACATATAATATCCGTAGCGACGATTCGGATGAATCTGAGGTGGCGTCTAGGCTCACCGAGAACATGAGTTCGGCCAAATCTTGAGTTTTGATGGCTGTCCGAAACTCATAAGAAAGGTCGTATTCTCCTAGTTCGACAGCCCATTTGGTAAGACGCCCTGAAACCTCGGGACATAATAGGATTTATCGAATTGGTTAATTTGTCTTTACAGACATGGGATGAGTCAAAGAGTAAAGTTAGCCGTCGGGGTGCATGTACCAGGCCTAACACAAGCTTTTTCACCTGAGTATATCGGGTCTTCGATTCACACAGAACCCTGTTGAAATAGTAGACAGGTATCTGAGTACCTTCGTCTCGGATTAACACGGCACTAATCGCTTCATCTGCTACGAAAAAGTAAAGGTATAGCTTCTCTCCTACCCATGGTGAAGTGAGGGTAGGAAAATGATGCAAGTATTCTTTCATTTGGTCAAAAGCTTGTTAACATTCTTCAGCATAGGCGAAGTGTAATGCCTTGAAAAGGGTAATGCCTTGAATACTTTCTTTAATAGATTGAAAAGGGTAATGCCTTGGCGAAGTGAGATAATAATTGGTTCAGGGCTGCCAGGCGACCAGTTAATCTCTGAATCTCTCGGGGGTTCTGAGAAGGTGACATATCTTGGATGGCTTTCACCTTATCGGGATTTGCCTCAATTCCTCGATAGGATACCAAGTATCCGAGGAACTTTCCCGAGGTGACCTCAAAGATGCATTTTTTTGGATTTAACATCATCCTTGCACCTCGGAGGATCCTAAAGACCTCTGTTATATTTGAAAGGAAAACTGAAGTAGTTTCATTTTTGAGAAGGATATCATCAACATAAGTTTCAATATTTTGGCCTATCTGGTTGTTAAAAATTTGATTTTCTAGCCGTTGGTATGTTGCCCCGACATTTTTCAATTTGAAAGGCATGGTAGTATAGCAATAAACTCCCCGGTCGGTGTAAAATGTCATTTTTTCCTGATCCTCCTCGCGCATCCCTATTTGATGATACCCTTTGAAGGCATCAAGAAAGCAGAGGATCTCATGTCCCTTTGAAGTAGCTGAATTACCGACCGCTGCCGAAGTACTAATTATAGAGTCTGGTGCACTCTTTTTCTTGAGCACTCCAGAAGTCTCTCCTGTTACCTTCCTCTTTGTTCTCTTAATGAGAGATGAACTGGCTTCGATAGTATCTGTACAGTGGCAAGATGAAATGATTAATTATATGCAGGAGGTCGGTATTGTGGTGAGGGCCCGAGTTGACATGACTTCGGGCCGAAGTGATAGGAGACATGAAGGCTCGGGTCCTTAGTTGAAAGCAACCGAGCCGAGAATACCATCCTCAGTGCACAAGGCTATTGGTAGTGCCGGTGGTGGAGGACCTAGGGTTATGCCTACGTAGACTGGCAGAAGAGAAGAAGAGCCAAAGAAAGAAATTGTATGGTTGGATTTTTTGCTATCTTTCGAGATTATTTTTTTTTGCCGCTTTTTGGCTTATTTAGTCGGTCAAACGGAAGCCTAAAGAGTCAACAGTCAAGACTTAATATTTAAAATAAAAAAAAAGAAAAATTTTAATTTTAAAAGTGTAATTTTACATCTCTTATAAACTCACATTGATCAAATTTTGTCCCTACCTAAGTTTTCAACTAATTTTTTGCCAGAATTTATCACGTATCTTGCATGTGATCATTTTTTAAGAGTAAAATTATCAAATCAAATTTTACTTAATTCTATTTATAGGCTCTCATATTTCACAAAATAAATTTTTTCATCCTTCGCATTTTTCAAAATATATTTTTCATCATTCATTGACCATATATGTTAATAATTTTTTTTAACTTATGTATATATCTATTTGATTTCATCTAAACAGTACGAATAGCATATAATATATCATTCAATTAGGTTGGGTGACGTCATCTAGATAGAACTCTGCACTGTGTATCATCGACTTCTCTTCAGGTGAATCATATGCATCTCACGAAAAATACAAAACCCTTACTTCCCACTCATCTCATCTTCATCAAGAGCAAGCATTCAGTCATAGTTCAATGGAAATACTAAGGTCTTTCAGCTTCCCGATTCAATTCCCATATATGATGCAAGAATTGTGTTTCGAAGGTCTTCACCCTGCTCCATGCTATCTATAATAGAGTATCAAGCACAATCAATACTATGTCAGATAGAACCTCCATTCTATCGCATCATGGCTTACGAGAGAACCATCATCTCAATTCTAGATCCTTCCGACTTTAAGGTCGAAACAAATTCTCATCTGACAAATTAAAAGAACCATGTGCCACTGCAATTGCCGAGAAAGACAAGGGAATAGAATTAGGATTATCAATGTATGGACCACTTATGCTGAGACCCAATACATTCTTAATTTCTTGATTAGATGGGCCAATCAAGTGTTAACTGGGCCTCGCACCAGGCCGAATTCATTTTAATCGAAAATGTTATCGGCTTCTTCATCTACTGGGCCATTTAAAATGTAATTGGGCCTCGTAATAGGCCCAATAAATAATCTCTGAAATGTTGTCAACTTATTGATCCAATAGGCTACTTAAAGGACAACTAGGCCAATTCATTTATAGTGGGCCTCGTATCAGGCCCACTTCGTTTTAATCAAAAAATGTTATCAACTTCTTGATCCACTGGGCCATTGTGTTCGAGTCCGGTAAGGGGTATGTTCGGTGGACGAAAATTGGTGTAAAGTAGAGATCTACGGACATTATACTTTCGTGGTTGATGGAGAGTCAACGGGCCTTGATCAAGCTACTATGGAATTTGCTCCTGAGAGCAACCTATATCCTTTGCCATGAATGCATTCTATACTATACACTTTTGCATGAGCTATATGGCTACTTGCTTAACTATATATTGGATCATGATCTATTTGAATTTGACTTGTTTCTTGATATCTGAGTATGCTATCTTGTCTCTTATTTTCCCTAGTTGGTTACTTGGAACGTCACTGGTCTTTTAGCTCATTCCACGCAATTTGCTTTCTTTACAGGGATGAAAACATGACAGGTTGAATTGAGGAAGGACTCGTATTCTTCTAATTTTATTAGTTGCTTGAGCGAGTACTTCATAGGTGTTTAGCCAACTTGTTTGATTTGATTTTTGTAAGTTTGATTCCTTGGTTGTATTACAGATTGTGTTGACATTGGAGGTCCATGAGTATATATATTAAAGGTTGTACAAAATAACGCTTTTATTATTGAGATTTTTATTTGTAAATTTCATGAATTGTGTCTGAATCCTAATGAGAATTGGGCAGACGATCCACCAAACTCTTGGGTACGCCCTAAGGGAAGGTGGGACTGTCACACCTATTTTTTGTGAAATTTGTTAGTGAACTTTTTGCACTCTTTTATTGTCTTGTTTTATTTTTTCCAACAACCCAAGGGTTACAATTTATTCAACCACTATTTCATATATTTATGGACATTGAAAGGCACCATTACGTCCTTTCAATAGATAAAAATTGCCAAAATTATTTTAGAAACTTTTGGCTTCCAAAAGACACTTAAGTTAACCAGATTCTCACAAGTCACTTGTTGAAAATCAATTAGAAAAGAAAATCAAAATCTTAAGAAGTGATAGAAGAGGTGATTATTTTCCTATTGAATTCTCAAGGTTTTATGAACAAAATGATACTATACTCCAAACAAGTGCACTTTGTACTCCACAACAAAATGGTTTGGTTAAAAGAAAAAATAGAACTTTGGAAAACATGGTTAATTCCATGTTGATAAGTTCTGGATTGCTAAAGAATTTGTGGGGTGAAATTTTGTTGGTTGCATGTCATGTGCATAATAGAATTCCTTCTGGTTAATCCTCTATAATAGTGAGGAGACCATTTTCAAAAGTAGGTATTAACTCACTTTCAATAATAGCAACATGAGTGAGAAATTCACTCATACTAATAAGATGTGTTACTGTTAAAGATAAACCATTGTTGTTCTTATTTGGTAAATCATTGGTTACTATTTGAGAACTAGATCTTGAAAGATGCATAGTTTCATATTCAACATATGGATCATATAATGCTATAAACCTTACCTATATTAACTTGCACGTCATGTGGAGGATATACCAATAGCAAGTAATAGTTTATGACTCTCATTTTGGCCATGATAGTTGCCATAGACATCAAAAAGTTACACTTACCCCAATACTTGTTGAATTTTACTTTCATCCGTTGCACCATTAACCAAACAAATTAATCTTCATCATCAGACTTACTATCTAATAGTATTTTTATTCGACAAATTTGTGAGAACCCAAAATTAATTATGCAATTTATATTTCTTTTTATTTTATTTTTATCTAAGAGTTGAATGTATTGTGATTTGCTAGTTATTAATTAATTTACATGTTTACTTGTTTCTTATGTTTAAATAATTTAAATACACCATAAATTAGTGTAGGATTAACCCTTATAAAAAAGTTAACACTAGTTAGAATAAGAAATGGTTGGGGGATAAAACAACAACACAAAAATATGGGGTAATTGTTAGATTAAATTTTTGATCCATGCATGAGTAACAAGTGCCATAGAGTGTCTGTCAAATGTGAGTTATGTTACTTAAAACACAAAACATTTTGTCTAGAAATTCTTTAGCCTTGTACCATTTCCAATCGAGAGGCTTGAGAGAGAGTTGAGAGAATAGTTCCTTGTTTTGCTTCATTTCTACCCGAGAGAAAATGAGAGAGAGTTGAGGAATATTCTCTTGTTTTGCATCTACTCCAATCGAGGAAAAACTAGAGAGAAAGCTTAGCAAATTCCACTTGTCTTGTTCCATTTTCAGTCGAGAGAAACTAGGAAGAGAACAGAGGGAGAAGAGTGACGAGCTTGCACTTTCCAATTTTGATTTGTGAAGGGAAAAGTAAGGTAAAAATTGCTAAACCACTCATTTCTTCTACTACTATTGAGAACACTAGTTATG